CTGTCTGTCTGTCTGTCTGTCTCTCTCTCTATGTATGTGAGTGTGTGTGTGTGTGTCTATCTGTCTTTTTGTCTATCTGTCTGTTTGTCCCCGCCCCCAGTGGGGGGTACGGAAGTGTGTGTGTGTGAGTGTGTGTGTGTGTGTGTGTGTGTGTGTGTGTGTGTGTGTGTGTGTAGAGAAAGAGAATGAGAATTGCTTTAAACCCAACCAGCTCCAGTTGCCCAAGGCCTCGTGACAGATCTGAAATCAAGATCACATCTAATATAAAGATGTGCAAAGAGCTAAAGCCTGGTTGGAGTGGGGGATGGGAGGAGACAGGAAAACCACCAGTGGTCACTCATACAACAGTCTACGTCCTTGATCAAACACGAAAAATACTTGAAGTTTTTCAGGCCTGGTGTGTCAGCAGTGACTCCTCATCCCTGGACTTTCAAGTCAGAATACCTCATGAAATGCGTGCGGAAAGAAAAGTTTCCCAATAGTCTCCTCCATAGGCCATGGCCCTGAGGAATCCCTGCCATGTGCCAGGCTGCTCCCTGGAATGCCCTGGCATTTCAAGCAGCTGGAGAAAGGTCCAGAAAGAGGGAGGGTCGGAGGAGGAAACTGGTTGAGTATTGTCATAGTAACCGGGAGGTTGGAAACCTCCAGATCGGAGCCGGAGCCTGAGCCACCTTAATTGGATTCTTCCTCGGGGCCACCTCTCTCCTTTACCAAGCTGCACTCAGGTTCTTTCCCTCCCACGCTGCCTCATCTTACATGCCCGCTCAAAGCTCGCCTGCCTGGATCCTTCCACACACTCCTCACAGAGATGAACTCAGCCTGCCTTGATGCTCTCCTAACCCTTTGGGACACATAACTAATCCTGCCTTATGGTGCTCCCCTGTGCTCACCCGGTTCCCCAAAAAGAAACGAATTTCTAAACATAGCCTGTCTTCAGTTCAGTTTTGAATCTTTTACCCAGGGAGCTGGGAGAGTGTTTATTTTTCGTTGTGCAGCATTTTGGGGGACGTCTCAGAAAAGAGAGATGTCCTTCGTGTATATAGTGGGTAGCAAGACAAAACAGAAGCAAACTGCTGTACTGCAGGGACCGGAAACGGGAGCTCTTGATTTTCTCAGCCTCAGTGATGTCAACAACCCAGGCTCAATAACGGAGAGAAGAAGACAGCAAAGAGAGTCCCTCTGGGAAGAATAGAACTAACACAGCATCCTGGACTCAGTTTGTGTGACAGTTGGTGTCACTATGTGACATGTCATCAGTCCAAGAACATAGATATGTCAAAAACATGAGCAGGCAGGGCTTTCCAACAACATGGGGGAGCCTCTTTCAGGTAACGCCATCTTAAAATCCCACATGGTGTCCCACGAAAGGGCCAGTGTCCGCCGAGGCCTATCACCTTGGCCTGCAGAGTGTGCCTACTCTGGGAATCCCAGAAACATCGGCATCTGAGCAGTGGGCGTGCTAAAAGAGTTCTCCAGATGAGGAGTACTGAAATTCCAGTTCGTGCACTTTCTCTAAGCATCTTTTCTTTGACTGCAGTGCTGTGTGTGAACCCAGACATCAGTGTGCCTGGGCAAGAATGCTGGGTAGTCACAGGTAGAAAGTTTTGCCATGGCATCTTGATAGCTGTGAGACCTTGGACAAGTCATTTAATTTCAATAAGCCTTTATTCAATAAGCCTTAATTTCAATAAGTTTTCTCATCTAGAAAAGATGTCCATTTATTAACTTGGTAAATGTTTCTCAGAAACAAAATAGGTCTCAGATATTGGGGATCCCATGATGAGAGTAGATCCCATGTGGGAAGGAGGGAGGATGGTGGGATATGAAATTACCCTAATGCTGCCATGGGCTGCAGTAAGAGCATCGAGACAGTGAGGGGCACAGAGCCGGGACTCTGACCTTTACCATGACCCAGGAAGTGTTCCCAAGAAGAACAAGGTTTTAACTGAGGTCTAGAAGATGAATAGACTATGAAACTCGATGGTGTTGGGAACAATGATGGGGTACACTTAGAGAAGCTTGTGTAGGCCTCCAAAGAAGAGGGGAACCATGGGTCTCAGAGTGTGAGAAAGAAAAGGCTTCATAAACTTCCAAAGTGGTTGGTGGCCGCTGCCTGGTGCCCTTGTTGTAGCTTTTCAGGAGTTAGTATCGTAGGGAGGGGTGCATCACATAGGTACACAAAAACCACAACCTGTCTTCCGGTGACAGCACAACAGCCTTGTAACTGAACGAATCCTTATTCTTTTTATTTTTTTTTT